CAACTCCCAGAATTCCCCAGCCAGCGAATGCTGGCTGGGGAATTCTGGGAGTTGAAGTCCGGACATCTTCAAGTTGCCAAGGTTGAGAAACGCTGGGTTAAACCACCCAGTTCCTCCCTGGTGGTGTTGGGTATTTTCAAGGGGAACCTGACTGTATGCAACACAATTGAATGGTTCTTGGCGAGGGAGCAAAGGCAGCTGAGAATTGGGGCTCAGCAGCATCTAACGTGAAGCCACAAGCTCCCTACTCTTGTCTGCAGCCTGTCAACATCTTCTTCGTGAAAACCTATTTCTCAAATTTAGGAACCGTGGCATAAATGAAGTGGGATTTTAGGGTATATATATATGTATTTGCCTTTTTTTACACTGGAGGATCTTGCAGTTGGTTTTCAACGGCTGCTGTATTTCAATAAAGATTCAGGAGTGTTGCAAACCCAAGTATTGTTGAACTTTAAAGGGGGGGGCGAGGATTAACTAGGAAAACCACATTTCCTATTCTCTGTTCTGAACAAGGTTATCCTTGGGTTTCGAATGAGAGGTACGATTATGATTTCTTTGCTTTTTCTGGACTGTTCCTCCTCTTTACACCAAAAATGGGGTTATTACATTTTTGAGATCATGATTTAATGCTATATGATCCCTATCTTTTTAAACAATTGTATGTTGCCAATGTTTACACGCAGTTTAAAAGAGACAGTCAAAAAGCTAAGAAGGAAACAAAAAGACCGAAACACATCGTTTCCGGCAGCCTCCACTCTGATAAGCAGGGATTAACGTCAAACAAACATTCAGGCAGAAAACAATACCCTAATGAAGAAATTGATGAAAAGGAAATCACAACCCCACCCATGCAGTGCAAACTACTGTATATAAATGGTGCAAATCCTATACCCACTGACACTGATAATGTTACCTAGTCGGGTAACTAAATGTCTGCAGGCAAACGACCAAGCTCAGAGGACACCAAGGACTCCACGTTGTCCAATTATTTAAAATGTTTTATTACGGATTCAAAAAGCAACTAATTTCTTTTTATATTGTTATATTATTATTTATTGCCCATTCCCATTGCTTATTCAGCATGACCTATTGTTTCTGCCAAAATGGTGCAACTGCCTTTATCTATTGCAGCAACAAGCAGGGTTTTATGTTGCTTAAGAAACTTGGGCAGCTCCCGTGATCTGGAGATGGAGAGAATCCAGTCTCTGATATGGAGAAAGGAACAATACCTTTGCACATGGATCCCCTCCCACACACAAACACACAATATAGCAATAGCAATA